GGGGGGGGGGGGAAAGATAGGACAGAGAAAGAGATGAATAACGAAGATGGATTGAATAAACGATTCGCGCGTATGTTTGTATGTTCGTAAGTGTATGCATGCACTTATATTGATGACGATTATGATGGTGATGATGAAATGTTAGCGACGACGAAGAAGAAGCTGATGATGAAAATGAAGATGGTTATAAGTAAACGAACATGGCTGCTTGGTTGAAAATGCAACGAAGATTTCAAATGATTAATATTTACAAAAAGGCGAAAATGCTAAAATGACGACGACGGTGAAGTTGTTGGTGATGATGTTAATTAATGATGATTTTGTTGATGTTTATGAAAACGGTGATCAGACGAAGTTCATCTAGCCTACCGCTCATTTGTTGTTTGGTTGTTTCATTTACACAGGCAATGTACTTAAGCTGTGATGATTATTAATAAAAAGAGTATTGAGAGATGAAGAGGAATAGCAAGAGTGTAAAGGTCGTGCAAAGCATTCCTACACATGAACAAAGACATAAATTGATACGATGACGATGATGGTGGGAATGACAAGACATTTAAAGCAACCAGTACAGCTAACAAGATTGAAGCAAGCTGTTGTTGATGTTGATGAATTAACGAAGGTTACCTAACTTTCGCGCAGGAAGTGACACGAAAAGATAACGACAACTTCGGAAAAATGATTTATATATATATACATATATACTGTTATGAAGGCTGTTTTGATTTTGTTGTTGTTGATGTTGTCGTTGATAATGATGTTGATGATGATGTTGTTGTTGATGATAATGTTGTTGATGTTGATGATGATGTTGTTGATGTTGATGATGATGTTGTTGTTGATGTTGTTGTTTGATATGATGGCAATGCAGTTGATGCTGCTACTAAATCTAATGCCCTTACTTTGTTGATATTGTTATAACCGCCGGAATGATCAAATTGTATTAGTTATTATTTGATTATTGTTATTTTTGCTATATTTGTAGTCTTTGGATAGTGTGTTATAAAAAAATATTTAATCTATGCTCATCATTTTCAATGCTTCAAGAACTATAGACGCACTCATCCCCATTACCATCTTCATCATCGTCATCAACAACAACAACACCTTGAACGCATCTGTACTGGATGTAGAGGTTGGATGTAAGTTCCTGGGAGCATGGTTGGACACCCCACATGGAGAACTGAGCAACGTCGAAGTAGCAGCCAACACGTCCCGAGCACAACCAATCAGTCAGCTCGCCTACATTCCATGAACAATTGTGAACCTTGTTCAAGTCTCTTATGCACCTGAAAGCGCAAGGTCGTATGTTTGAACAACAACAACACAACAGCAATAACAGCAGCAACAACAACAGAAAAATACTAAAACACTAATAACAACAACCACAACACAACTGACTTTCCAACCCTGACCCTGCCATAAATGGCAGATTCGATGATGATCACGTGACTCGGTGAACAGCTGATGTTCAACTTACCCCACTGACAATATTCTTCTGTGATTGGTTGGTTGATTGCTAATAATTTGAAATTATTTAAAATGTAATTGGAATAACGGACAGACAGACAGCAAAAACAAAATGGCGATCGGGTAACTTCAAAACGTTCCAATGCATCTTTGCAAATTACTTTCAAAATCCCAACAAATAACATGCAAATTTGTATACTAAACACACACACACACACACATGCACGCGCACACACACACACACTGCGATGAACGTTGTTAGGATTCCTGCCAACCACGATTAAACGTTTACTCATTTTGAAAATTTTAAACTAACCTTGAAATATTAGAGCAAAAACATCAAATTTAAAACAGCAATAACATTAATAAATGTCACATTAATGACATAAAAACCAATAATAAGGAACATAGTAATGCAATATAAAATCAACCAATCATATCAAACTATCAACCGGCTAATTCAATCAAACAATCCGCCAACCAATAACAACAGTGGTTCACGGGCAACCTTGAAACAGCCAGCCAATGAATAAAAAGGGTTCAAATGCCAACCTTTCAATCAGATAACTCCATCATGTGACTGAAACAAGTACACATCAACCAATATGAAATCAGCATATAAAATTAATTACATGTCCTAAATTAATTATATGTCCTAAATTAATTATATGTCCTAAATGATTTTAATTTATCAATTTATTTAGTCTGTAAGCAGTTTGCCTAATTAAAGTCTTAAAGTTCTGAAAACACAAACATACAGACACACGTAACAAATATACAAACATACAGACAGACGGAGACGCTCAAGAAGTGTTTATAAATGTTTTTAAGTAAAACCGAAGCATAGAAAGTCTGCGTGCTATTCAATTATTTGTAATAATGCTCGATTACACAAAAATAATACAT